TGGTTGCCACGTCTGGCACAGACTTCGGAATTTCCGGCATGGCGGCCGAAGTCGCACTCGACCCCACCTCGGTCGACTTCTTCCCAGTATTTTTCTGACCGGCAGTCTTCTTCACCAGCGCACGAACAAGATCTCTCCTCATGGCGTCGTTCAGTCTTAAATCTCGACTCTTACCAACTTTGGACTGAAGATCTCTATTCGGAAATTTACGCCTAAACTCCTCGGCTTCCTTGACAGAGTTATAGCCCAGAAAACCGAGGAGGGGATAATACACTGCATATCGACAAAGGATAAATAAAGTTACAAACAGCTGTTCTATGCATATGAAAAATTCGACAAAATCGTTACTGGTTAAAATTCTCTTACCGGGGTCAAACTTCGATATAGTAACTCCCAGAGACAAACCAGCCGCTTCAAGTTTCGAGTCTATTAAGAGCTTGCGATAGTCCCTGTCTTCTTTATTCAAACCGGCCAAAGTTATCAACTTCCCACCGAATTCCGGACTTAACTTCGGTTCTTTTTGCTTCGTCTCTTTTTCTACACAGAGTAAAAGTTCCGACCTGTTAGTACACAGAACAACACCAAAATCAGGAAAGTATATCCGAATTGAAAAAATAAAACAAACTCACTGGCTCCGGAATGAATTAACATGGGGATTGTCATCCCATCAATTCGGTGCTCATGAAAGAAGTCCTCTGACTGCCACTCCCCACCGATCCATAACCACTCCTCCTGGAAGCCGTGGAGACTCTCCGGAATCTCAGTCACTATTTCCCCGACTTTAACGCCGTGCTGCGGTTTCGCCCCGGCAAAGAAGCAACAAGAAGACTCGGCAACCCTCCTCTTCGGACTTTATTTAAACGCGAAGATGCTCCTCATCTCATCGCACGAAGGCAGTCCTTCACCTCTCTCGTGCAGCAACACCATCAAACCGATTATCTTTTTCCAACTATTCGGTGTGATATGACACAACGGTAACCCCCAACTTCGGAGGTACTCCGTAATCAAGTTTGGCAACGGAAACCTTAA